CATTGTTCAATGTACAGATGGTAGTGAAGACATTTGTGCAAAAAGAAAATTAATACACAGTTACAATTACGGCACACAACACCCTCGCAATAGATTGCCTTTCTATAAGGCATGGACTGTAAAGCTGCCTGTTTTTGTTTAAAGTCAAAAGAATAAAGTAATTCACAAAACATATTAATAAAACTAATAGCATCAGTCGTGCCAATGTCTGCTGTAATTGGTATCAGTTCCATGCCATCCCCCAGCCCAGTGTTCTTGTCCCCCAAGTCGGTCCAGGGAGCCATAAATTTGTCCATTAGGTCATTTTCTTTAATCCTCTATGTTACCTTGGTTGTGCTATGTGTGATAGGGTCTAGAGAAGTTCACTAAATTTAAGGATTAACCAATGCAAACCAGCTTATTACATAAAACTGATACCGGAGAAACTGACGGAAGCAAAGCACAGAGGGATGGACACAGGTTTCTTCAGGAAGGAAGAGATTCTTTATTGGATCACCGATCGGGACTCAGAGGGACTAATGTCACCAAAAATACAGCAAGTTCTGAGCCCTGAACAATAGTGCAGGCTTCCTATATAGGCACATAACTCCTCCCATATTAAGCTCCACCCGCACATTCTCTTGACCAATCATTACAAATAAGAATTAACTTCCTGCTTGACCACATGGCTTGTCCAGCACAATGGAGGAGGAGAATACTACATCCTGTATTCTTGCACATGCTCCGTACACTACTGATCGTATCTTGCCTCGTGCAACCAACTGATCGATACGTCAGCATATGCACGTACACATCCCACGTGGTAATCTCGGCCTACTAAATTTATTTTTACCGAGATTCCACCACATTCTCCCCTTTGATGCCTCTTGATATTTTACAATTACTTGAGGCATCACTTAACCTTGGTTTACATACACCACAAGTTACCTTTGAACCAGACCAGACTTATCCTATGATGTGAATCTTCAACACTCATCTTCCTGCATTAGTTCTCCCTGATCTAGAGCCTTATATTTATCAGGTGCATCAGGCAGTGAAAACTGCGGTTAGATCCAGTGTTAACTCACTGTGACTATCATTTTATTACCTGTGGTTGCAACTCGAATCTAGTTTTATAACCCAGAACAAACAGTTCTGATCAATGAGTCACATGTTCCTCAGAGAATGTACTGGTGTAGCGTTTATAGTGAGGAAGTAAATGCTTTAACACCCGGTCTGTAAGTTTACTCTGCAGAAATATGTTTTAGGGAAGCAAGAGGTATGGATTGTTTCTCTTCATCTACTGACAGAACTGCAAATTCTCTGAGAACTGCATTGTTCGACACAGATACAGATGAATTCTGTGATTCGGGCAGCAGATCTCATGTTTAAGATAGTCCTACGCTGAATGCTCCAAGCCGGAAATCAATGTTTACTTTAATTTGTTCCTACTAAAACATGTGATCATTAATACGTTTAAGTGTTGATTTTTTTAACCCCCCTTAAGGACCAAACTTCTGGAATAAAAGGGAATCATGACATGTCACACAAAATAGAACACAATGTATTCGGTTCACGCATATGAAAGCAGTAAGACATGGAAAATTCAAATTAACATTTTCCTACTCCAGAAAGCCCGAAACATTGCTACTATATTTGTCAAGACTAATGTGTAGTCTACTTGATCAATGGACTTTAAGAATTCTCTATTGGTGCTTTTTATATTTTATTTATTCTACATACTAATTCCTTATGGTTGTATTTTAGCAAGATACCCTATGTGTAAATTTTAGATGATTGATCTGTTTAAACACAGGAATTTTTCCCTATTGTCTTTTTACTGTGGCAATGTAGGGTCGTTCTGCTGCATATACATATGTTCTTTTTTTGGCATTTGGAACTGTTTGGCTGTTCATGCCTATATTGTACTCTACCACCACTCATTTGATCTTTTCCCTTTTGAATTGTTTTTTCTTGTTTGTTATAGTTGTTAGTGCTGTGCGTTCCACGGTGGAACGCACACCTATACTTCACCCGCGTCGACGCCGCGTCGTTTCCGGCACGACCGCGGGTGCTGTGCGTCCCATGGTGGAACGCACATCTATTTCTTGCCCGCGAGGGCGCCGCGTCATTTCCGGGGCGGCGCGTGCGTCTCACAATGGATTGGTCCTCACATGCGAACGCCGCGCCGCTTCCGGTTTGGGCCCGTGCGTTCCACGCTGGCTACCGCCATCCATGTAGACGCCGGACTACTTCCGGTTTCCACCAACGAGCGTCCCTTTGATTTGGCCACACCAGGGAGCTATTATCAATTATGGTCAGTATGTTATATTTAAAGGAAGTTTTTTGATGCATGCTTTTTACACTTCTGATGAAGCCATTGGCGAAACGCGTTAAGTGTTATTTTATATAGCTTTTTATTTTATTGTATTTGTATTACTAGTAAATATACTTTTAAAGCTATATTTTATCCTCATTCTATTTACATCATCATACTTCCTGGCCTGTATATCCTACAGTGGGGATTATACCACTGCATACCTTATATACTAGAGCAAGTTATCTGCTCTAGTAAATGTGAGTATAATATACTTATTTACCTATTTATACTATTATTGGAAATTACTACACCATTGGAGTTCTCTGTATTTCTTTTATCTATACCATCACACCATTGGAGTACTCAAGACGCTGGACTTCTCATCCTAAGACGGGGATTGTACCGTCCACGCCTATCACGGTAGAGCTCCCATAGTAGCTCTACCAAATGTGAGTGTAAAATACCTTCGTTTTATTTATTACTCCTTCTCAATATTGTTAAAAATACTACACTATTGTATATATTTCTTTTTGTTTTCTTTTTGAGGACAAATTACCTGCAACTACTAAGAGACATCAAGTGTATGTATATTTAATTTATATAAGGCGCGGTTTCTCTCCTCCCTTTTTATAATGTGTAGTGTGGTGTAAAATTACTAGAGAGTAGAGATCAGATCTTTGTGTGAAATTACGGGTTAACGGAGGCAAGATGTTCTTTTGTTAAGCGATCACAAGTAACTAGTAAGCATACCAAATCTAAGTAGTCAAATCATAAGTAAAAATAGATACTGGGGTGTACATAGAGAGGTATGGAATACAAGGTAGATGTATCCTTGGTAGGAGTTGGTACGATAATGCTGAAATATGAACTCTGGGGCCTGACAGCCAGGTAAGTAGTGTTCCCCTCCCTCCCCCCACCCCCAAAAAAAACAAACAAACAAAAAAAAAACACACCAACAACAAACCCTGCACACTGGTTCTGCCAAGGAGGTGCTCAGTGTCAACTGCGGACCCTGCAAAATCCACCGAAGTAGTGCAGGAACAGTTAAAAAGGCAAGATTAAGGCTGAAACATTGCACTTTTTATGGGGAGGTTTACCCTTGAATAAACTTTCCATCTAAGTCTTGGAGTGTTGCCTGTGTTCATCTGTTCCTGTACTCCAGAGCCAGTTAAGTGTCAAACTATCCTTAAACTGTTTCATAGTTTACCATAAAATGGTACCAATGAACTTCAGTTACCACAAAAAAACCAAACCTGTATTTTACACCAAAGAGCCCTGCCAAATGCATTTATAGTTTTAACCAATTAAATATAGAATGTGGTGGAATTCCGAGGTGTTACACAAAAAAAAAAAAAAATTATTAAAAAACTGAAAACCGAACAGGAGGAGTTTAAATTTTAGTAAAAGCTGTGGTGGGAGCTAGATTAAAACAGTGCGATTAATACTAAAAAACTAAACTAAACTAAGACTTATGACTGCAGTAACAGAAAATAAATCACAAACTTTAGTGGTTCTTTTTGCATACATTTTGTTAGGTGCCAGTCTCTCTGCAAAACCCTGAGTGCTGCCAGAGAGGACATCATCTCATTGCAAATGGGTTAATCCGGTCTTAATTCTGATGAGATCTTATAGTGCTAGAACAGTACAAACAGTGCACATGCATCCATCTCTAACAAAGCACAGCATGTCTGAGAACCTGTCCATGAAATCAGTCAAGTAAGAGCATGCATGGGCAATAAAATCAGAATATTAATAAAATCTCTACCACAGGTTTCCTTACTAGGTGGATGACCCAACTGCAACATTTATTCCAATACAACCAAATAAAGAAATGCAACAGTTTACATTTTCACGTTTGATTATCTTGCTTTGTAAGGTTGTATGTATGTGGGTTGTTATATTGTGTATGTGCATGAATAGTTTGTGGTATTGTGTAAAACACTTATGAATGTGGGCAGCTTGTGGTATTGCATGTGAGATGCTGCGTGTGTATGTGGATTGTCAGTGGTGTTGTGTGAAGGGGCTCGTATTTATATGGGGGAAGGAGAGCCTTCTTCTGCAGCTCTGTGTATATTTAGCAGTGTGGTTGGATTTCCTGGGGTCCAGTGGGGACCAGGCTGGCCAGGTACATGTCAAGAACAGGAGCTACGATAGCTGATGTGGGCTGCTCTACTCCAGTACAGATTCTCGTTCAAGAGCTGAAAGAATATTTTCGGAGATCACTTCCTCTAAGTGCTGCAATTTGAGAATGGTCCCTCACCACCTGCAATCACTGTTCAGGTATATGAAGTTCCAGTGGGACTCCTGATAGGCAAAAGCCTGTTTGGCTCTGGTAGCCTTGAGTGCTGTGCATTGTACACATGCCATGCTAAGCCCTGCAATCAAATATAAGGCTTGCCATAGAATAGTTTTTTTACATTTATGAATCTTTACTCATCCTTTTGTTTAACAAATTAGTTTTTGTGAGGTGTGAAAAAAAACATTTAAAAATCCACACCTCGTTATCATGCAACTGGGAGTCGCCATCTTCGCTCTCTGCCAACCATTGCCCTTTGCACCTGGCAGTCTGCACAAAGAAGTGATACAGAAATCTTGACTTTGCCTTGTCAGAAATGGATTGTGATGTCATTTGCTAAATGTTCATGTAAAATACGCACGACAAAAATCCCTAAAAACCAAAACCAAGTACTTGACAAAAATGTAAAATGCTTAAATAAAACACTGTTTTATTAACAAGGTCACACAATTTATTAACAATGAAAGTTATTTACAATATGCACATAATATAGCAACAAGTGTTGTTTTTTTCTTTTTAACGTTCACAGTTTTGTTTTTCTTGGTTTTTAAATGCAATTCCTTTTTTTCTCGTCTCACCGTTTTCCCATTCACAATTAAAAAAAACAAACAAACAGTTCCTAGGAAACTTGTAAGCAGCAGAGTTTAATTTTTTAAATGGAAACAGTGGTACTAAGTTCTTCATACTGTATGATAAAATAAGGATAGCTCTGGTCGTCATTAAATATAACAAAAATTTGAGGATCAAAAAAGTTATCTACACAAGAGTCATAGAGGTCACTGGTTATACTTGCTGGATTCAGAGGGGGAGGCCTCCTCATTGTATGATTTCCTACTACATATCTTCCGGTTAATACTTTAGCCAGGAACATGTAGTGAACTCCTTTAGGGGATCGCTTTGAAAAACTGTGGGAATAACTTGCCTTTCTAGCAAAGTAACTGCCCTGTCCAAACATGGTGGCATGTTTGCCACACACTCTGGGGTCAAAGTTGTGTTTGCAGATCCCATCAACAACATCCTGGGAGGTCCCGTGGAATAAATGTCTTTCATTCATTATCTTGTCTAGTCCTGTCATTTTCCTGGTCATGAATTCTTTCTTCCTAAAAGAAAGAAAAAAAAATAAAAATTAAAAACTTAAAAATGTAAAACTACAAATCAAAACATGCATAATATCCCGTGCTAGCATAAGAAATAAAAAAACAGTCTATTCATCTACTTTATTGCAAGTAGTGCCCCCCCCAAAAAGTTTTTGACCAAGGGTAAAGCATACAGACAACTATTTTGTTCAAACATTTCGGGAATCTAACCCAGGTTTCTCTTTAGGTTATGCACGACATTACATGAACATGTGGAGGTTTTTCCACGAACAATCCTCAGGTTAGGGATTAAATTGATATTTTTGCCTGAACTCATTTCACAAGAATACAAGCTTTTAATGCAAGGTGGTCTTTATAATTTCAATAAACCACAATGAACTGTTTAATGGATAAACAAAGTTTATACTTTGCATCATTACAGAAAACGCTACTTTTATAAAGGATTTATCAACCAATCAATTCAATTATTGAGGTGCTCACTGATAATTCATGCATAAATTAATGCCTTTCACTTTACATTGAGACACTAAGCATCTTATAAAAAGAACCTGAGTGATCAGATTGTTTATTGGAGGGCGGGGGGAGGGACGGGACGGACACACACACACACACACACACACACACACACACACATTTTATTTTTGTATTTCATCTGTGGAACAGCAATAAACTGATACAGACACATAGGTACTGGATGCTGGCTATTAAAAACATATGGAGGGGAGCAGGGATGTATCAAGGCAAAACAGGCGCTCTTTTGGGTGCATAGTGCTAAATGTTGAGAGACATTTTATTGATCTCCATGGAGATTATTTCTTATTTAAAACTTTGCCCAAGAAGAGCACCTGTGTTTGCCTTGACATTTCCCCATTAATATGTAAAAAAAACTAAAACAAAACAAAGATGATAGAAAAGCAGTTAGAATAAGATTAGTCGTTTGTGCACACCAACTTTTTTTGTAAAGCAATCTTGGCACTGCAGCTGTTGTGGACTACATCTACCCTAACACTTTGCCAGCATTCTGGGAGATGTAGTACACAACATCTGGAGGGCTGAAAAGTTGCATACACCCATTTTAAACAGGCTACTCTCACCAGACGTGTAGTATTCAGGTCCATATTGAAGAATTTCTATGTGAAAAAATATCAAGGTTTTCTTGGGTCAGTCTAAAGGGAAAACTCAAAACATAAAAGTTACCTTTTGTATTTTTCCCATAGAAAGAGATTCTGAACACGCAGTATTTTTACAATTTGAAATTTGGTCTCTGGAACACTTTTGTGGAAAAGGGCATACACTGTCCTGTAGCTCTTGTCTTCCTTGGACATAGGCACTTGAATGAACTCTTGAGCAGAATCCATAGGGATCCAGGTTTCTGGATAGAAGTTTGGAAATGTGATGGCAACAGGAGATAGGACTTGGGTAGAAGCAGAGTCATTCATTTGGGTGTTTAGTGGTGCTACTCCACCAAGTGTCCTAGAATAAGACAAAGCAATGCATCAGTTTAACAAGGGAACAAGCAATGGGGTATAAACATGATACTCAAATATGACAGTTCCATTTTTTTTTCTTTATACACATAACAGCCATAGCATATAAAACATGTCAACAACTGAATGTTCCTTTTGGTTCCAGTTTCCATGGGGACTGCTCCACTTTAAGTACTTTGTACATAACCAACTGTGCCCTCTTGCTGGCCCAATTATTGGCACATTAGACATTTGAGAAATATCAATGTCCAGAACACATTATCTAAATGTCAGTCTTCGCTTACTTTAATGTGCCAAATGCCCGAGTCTTACTAAAATAGGAGTATGTGAGAAGCTTGAGATGCCATCGCCTATGTTATAGAAACACTTATTGCACAATATACACATATAACTGGAACAACTAGTTGCAGTTAACTGGGCGAACAGCTCGGTTCCCATCTGTCCTAATGTAACCATTCAACAAAACACGTCAACGAAACGTCTACACTGTGCTATGACGCATGGACCAAGACAATACGTGCGGGGCCAGCATAAACTGAATTAATAAGTAGGGTGTGTCTGCGAGCCCATGAACATGCACAAAGGAGAGATAGCTCTGCAAACCTCAATATTATTATAAGAGGAGTGTATTCTGTATCCATCACACTGACCTCTACCTGTCATCTCATCCCTATATAGTCATCAAAGGATACTTTAAAAATGCAATATGCTGAGGTGCTATAGAAATATAAATAGAGTGTGAGCAGTAACAGGGTACAGCATTTATGTTGTGAAATTATGTTGCACTATGAAGCATATTAACTACATGTTTCGTGGTTCTTTAAAGTCTCACTGAGAATGTAAATTTTTTTTATTTTTTTTAAATATATATTTTTACAGCATGTCTTATTTGTAAAGTCCCCTACTAGGGATCGACCTATTATCGGTTTTGCCGCTATCCCGATAATCATCAGCAATATCGATCATGAATGGGTGGGCCAGTGTGTCCAGAAGGCTGCATAAACTGCTGCCTTAGGGCGCTAGATCGGAGAGACCGGCAGGAGGTTGGCGCACAGTGCTCCCTCCTGCCATGCACAGTGTAGCGTGGCCGAGTGAAGCAGTGCGCACCGCGGTACAGGAACTTATGTTTCCTGTAACCGGCCGGACTGAAAGGAAGTGCTCCCTGAGAGGGCACTTCATGTCAGTCCAGCCGGGTACAGGAGACTGAATCTCCAGAACTGCTGTGCGCTCTGCTCCGCTTGGCCATGCTACCAGGAGACACACCGGGGAGCAGGGACCAAGGAAGGGAAAGAGAGGGGCACGGCACTATAGGACTGGGGGAGTATGGGGGGGCAAAGAGACACGATTTACAAAAAAAATAAGGTTAAATGTACAGTATATCGGTATGCTATCGGCAATCGGCATGAAAGTTCACAGATTACAGAATTGGCTCTTAAAAATAAATAAATAAATAAATAAATAAATATCGGTCGATCCCTATCACCCACCTCCCAAAATTAAACATTTGTTTACAGTCCCTACCCAAGGGGTAGGGGAATATATCACTGCCCATTTAATTTGATCATACATTCAGACCTAGAAAATGCATACAGTAATAAAATTTAAGAATACCAGTCATACAATGTTTGATGCACCAGGAATTGAACCTTTGAGTGTTTCCTCAATAACTTTATCAACTGTAAACCTTTCCCGAACCAACATTTGTAAGTTAACGTGCCAACTCGTTAAATGGTTCAACAAATCTGAATATATTCTAAACATTTTGGATTAACACTGGCCAGTTAATCATGCGACTGCACACTTGAAAGTTGGACATTTCATGCCATTTGTGCAGAGAGTCGCATTCTTTTGCCGCTGGGAAATTGAGTAAAGCAGTTAAATCTCTAGCTAGTCTGAGCATGTAGATCTGCTGTCAGAACAACAGCTTCCTGCTTTACACAGAGAGAACAACATGTTCCTAAAAACACCAGGCTCTGCAATCATGCTTCCAGCTGTGCATGGGATGCTACAAACAAGAAAAATAAAACCCAAACACACAACTAAGCACGGACTGTGTCAAACTTATAAAAACTGCAATTAACCTTTTGAGTGCTGGAGGGAGGGCATAACCACCTCCTCTGGTACTCAAAGGGTTACATGTACACATCTGCCTGACAGCATAAACCTTACTAGCCGAATGTTAAAAAGGTATCCTCGATCAAAAAGTTACTTTGATCCTGTTCATGCTTTCAATTAAAAATAAAAATACAACTCTTTAAGGCTTCCTGACAAAGAAAAAGCATGATCACTACCACGCAAAACCATGACCCTGGCCATGTGAACAGTCATACATCGTAATATTATACACTTCAATGGGCTCCTTTTAAGGAGACAGTAAAGCAAATGCAAGCAGCTGCTTTAAGCAGGAATTTAATGAATCATTCATCTTTGTGACCATTACTAAAGATCTCTCAAAAAAAGAAAGCCACAAAGCCTGTTTTGGATGCTATTTTTTCCATCCCAACAAGCACATTTCCCCCGTGTTGCTGTCTGTGTGCCAAGATACGGTTGCCCTCGGTATATAATTAAACGTTTCATAGCACCACATAGAAGTTAAAATAAGAAATTGCATGCAGCAGTTACACCGGCTCACAAAATGGATTTAATTTTATGGAAACATCAAAAAATGGCAATTTAGATGTAATGGGGGGTAGGATAGAATGTGCAACACTGGGGCAGAAGCCTCAATCAAGAGTGGAGCAAACAAGAACATTCTATTGGTTTCCAGGGAGATTATTTAGCAGTAAGCCACAGATATGAAATATAAGATAAAACAAAATATCATAATTTCTTTTTTTGTTAGCCAGAGGGATAATCTCAATCGAAAAACAGTGCAATGCCAGCCTCAAGTTCAGCACGCCTGCCAGTAAATTGCAATTATATAACGGACTACACTTCCTCAATACTAAGTATCTTCTAGCAGAGGGAAGTCACGCTATCTGCTCTGGACCAAGGTTCACATGACAGAGCTGAACTAGACTACAGAACACTGGATGCCGATCACCATGAGCTCTGAATGTAGGAATTCACTGATGTTTACAGAACAAGCACTATAAGATGTGTATTCAAATGCTTGTCTCTTGGCAAACTACAATTCCCATGAACCTTTCTAAACCTTTTTTTTATAGATTTGTCAGAAAAATTAATTTTAAATAAGTGTACTTACTGTAAATGCGGCAAAAGCAGTACAGGAGATCGAAAAAGCGGCCTCCGTTTTATTTCCTTCCTGAAACACGCATTCTGTTGGAAGCCATCTTTAATGTTCAGTATGTACTGATTGTGCCACGTAACAAAACGCACTTCCTTTAGTCCTCTAACATTTGCCTCTTCTATAAGTTTCACAACGGGCTGTATAAAAGACCAAAAGATCAGTTTAAAAATAGAGACATTCAAAAAAGACAGGAAAATAGATAGTTGAACAAAGTGGTTAAAACAAACATACACAACGGTGCTCAATCTCACTTAAATCGCTTCCCCCTTCATGAATTATGCACAAGCATGAGATGAATAGGACATGCAACATTGCTGAAGACATGGCCCTTGTGACTAAATCCCCACTCAAATCATCTATTATCAGCAAACCCATTTAACCCCTAATTAAAGCCTGAACTGTACCTCAGAATACTCTCTCCATCCAAAGTGGTCTCGACAGAAATATTTCCACACAGTATGGTAATTATTGATTTCAGTAGAGGTACACGGTGTTGACAGTCGTCTGATTTGGTCAAATACAAGAGATTCATAAATGCTCATACAGTTCAAGTCTACTATAAATTCATGTCCCCTGGAAAGAGAAATAAAAACACAATTACAAGAAACATCAACCACATTTACTACATTTTGTTAAACCAAAATCTGATTTTTTTTCCCCCCATGATTGGCAACTATGTAAAAGAACAGTCATTTATTATGCTTTGGATGGTTCCTTTAAAATAAATTTGCAAAAGCCTTCTCTTAGAGGGAAATACCCAACAGGCGATGATCCCAATTTAGGTCAAAACGCAACTTTATCTCCTTAAAGGGTTCAAATGCAAACTCAGTGATGTCACTTACTAGACTTGCCATTCAATATAGAGGACACACAATACACCATACACAAACAAACCATCAACAATATTTCAGGCAATCAAAACGGATTAAAAATGAAGGGACAGAATGGGGAGGGGGAAGGAGATTGTTCTGTTTTATAAACACATTTGTCAAAACATAACTGTATAATAAACAGTACCTCCTGCTGTGTTGATTGTGTGTACAAAGCTGTATTCTATTGTAGAGATTTTACGAAAAAACAAAACACCGAACTCAAATACTGAGATGGCTAGATATATTATACAGACGCCTTTCAAGCCAAGATTATGTGAACTATTCACAATATAACATCTTTATTAAATGAAAAAAAACAAACACACCCTAATAGAGTTATTTGAAAGCAATAAAAAAATAAATATATATTTATATAAATAAATAAATAAAAAAACCTAGGCAATGAAAAGGTCTTTGCACTAGCTGACATACTTAACCCCTTAAAGACCAAACATCTGGAATAAAAGGGAATCATGACATGTCACACGTCATGTGTCCTTAAGGGGTTAATGTCTACATTCTGCCATCCACTGCTGTAGAGCGTCAATCTGATTTTCTAGGAGCCAGACTGTTATTTGCAGAAAAACCAGCAGAGTTTCTAGAACTCGCAATGTTATTCATAAAAATGCAAATCTGAGAAATTACAATAGAATTACATAGTGTTCGGCAAAAAAGGAAGCGTTCTGAACAAGTTATCAAAACTTTCCTCTATCTTGGAAGCTTGGCTATTTCGGATCAAAATAAATAAAAAATAAATTTTTTAACAAATACTCCAACTGGTTTTTAATGCAATCCAATGTTTTGTCGGAGTACAGCTACTGCTATATTTAGACACCGAGGTTTAACTTTGAGGGTTAAATGTGAATCGTCATCAAGTTACAATTTTAGGACAAATATCCAACAGCTTACTTACAATTTGGCAATTGGGGCCTAAGAAATAATCACTTTTCATTGCTGACCATTTACCGTTTAGTGAATAAACTAGTTTGTTGTGGTAAGCATTTCTATACCCTGTACACTGACACCTAAAACCGTATTGAACTCGCCATCATACACCTAGAACACATGGGCACATTTACAGCTTTAAGAAAAGATAGGTTGTGAACTTCCATGTGTAGCTGCCCTAGCTACAGTCACTGTTTACCATTCACATCTACACAAGGAATGAATGCAGAAGGAGTCTCATGCAATCTAAATAGCAGCTGTATATTTTGCAATGCAAGCATTTCTCCATAGCTAAACCACTATTTTACTGGAAAATTCTATTTGTGTAAATAGGTTTCAGAGATCGAAATAGATACATACTTCTATGATCAGGTCATTATGGTTATGTATAAAATGAAGGTTCCATAGCAAAGAAAGTGTTGAAAATGTGTCAGTTTCAGGGCAATTCATTAGCTCACCCCCATGAATCAAAAAAAAAAAAAAAAATAAGTCACAGAAGCATTGAGCCATGTAAGGTACATAACATCAGTGCTTGTGATATGAAAATACAGTCAGCTGATTAAGAATAGTCACAAATCGGAATGGGATCTCTGACAGGAAGCTATGAAGATTGTTCCCACAAAGCGGTCATATAACTTGAGATAGCAATCCACAAAAATAGGACACCTCATTGAAAAAGCACTCCTCGTATTAATCAAACAAGTGTTCAGCAGAACGGTCCAGGTCTAATTTAGCAATTTGCTGCCTACAGTCATTATTTTGAAGTATACTCTAGAGATCCTTGCCACAAGTTTGCAATCTTTGTGGCTCGCTCACTTTAAGTGAAGTAGTAGCCAAGATGAAAGCTGTAAGGCTGAGGTGACAATATATTTTTTATAAAGTTTATAGGGATATCCACTAAACTCTAAATGGGAATATCAAGTCTAAAATACATTTGGACAGATTCTCCAACTCTGCTAGATCGTCATAGCAGATATTTTTGCCAGACTGAATAAGTGTTAATTTCTAGAGTTTAGTGAAAATGCCTCTGCAATTTTTTTTTCGATATAGTCCTCTGTTTTAGGATAAGATTTTCACACCAGAAAATTAAAATGTAGGGTATACAGGGAACGAGAGAAAGAGCAGGTTTCGACTAGATCTTGTAAGGCTGGTTTGACCAAGATACACAATGTAACATTGTTATATAGCATACAGGAGATTCCAGGGTTTTACCAACTCAAGGGCCAGGAGGAGTCAAATTATAAATTAGTATAAGAATGTTTTTAACCCCTTAAGGACCAAACTTCTGGAATAAAAGGGAATCATGTATTCCAGCAAACAAACTAGTTGAACACATTTAAGTGTTTATTTTATTTACTCAACACGTCAATGTTGTTAAAGCCAGAAAAAAAAAAAATATATATAAAAGTTCTTGCAAAATAAATCTAGGTTGTTCTCATTTGTGGATTGTGCCCACTGCATCATATAAACAAATATTAAAAAAACACAGGCATCATAGAATATCTAGCAAGATCTAAAAACCCCTACACAAAGTGCATTTCTCTAATCCCAACACAAAGAAATTGCTATATCCTCATTACATGGCTGTCCTCCTACCCACTGGGGAATCTGACTGTAATGCAATGCGATCTTATAGTGAACGTTTTAATCAATGCATAGTGAACTAACACCCACACTGATGCCAGAGTGTAGCCCATAATTACTGCGGCTGCTGCGTGACATAAAAAGGACACATGCATTTTAAGCAGGCAGAGTGAAGTCATTCATTAAGTCCTTTTAAAGGGTGACGTGCCTGGTACTATTTTGCATCCTCATGCCTAGCACACATCTTCTAGAATAACAGGACTGGAAGTATAATTAGGTTATTCAATACATGTAAATGACAGCAATGTACCACACAGGATGTTTTATGGCTTCCTTGGTTATTTAGGGATATTGACTGGAGAAAAGATATATATTATTTATATTTCAAGTATACAAACATTAAAATTTAGGCAAAAATAAATAAATATATATATAAAAACAGAAACCACACAGACGTGTACTGTAGAGATCCTTGCCACAAGTTTGCAATCTTCGTGCTCGCTCGCTTTAAGTGAAGTAGTAGCCAAGATGAAAGGTGTAAGGCTGAGGTGACAATTTATAGGGATATCCACTAAACTCTGAATGGGAAGATCAAGGCTTTGGACAGATTCTCCAACTCTGCTATAAAAATTTCAGTAAAATTTAGGGAATTAAAAAACAAAAAACATTTATTTCCATCTTTGGATGGTTTATATCCATTAGCACCACAGACCAGAACAAATCTAAATTCTAAAATGCCCCCTTCATTTTCCAGTTTGTTTACCTGTCCAATCAAAAATCCTATCAGCACACCAAGTGTCCCTATGGATATTGTGTGGCCAAAAACCAACCCAAACAAAACAAAAAAATAGTGTCAAACACCTCCCCTGTGAACAAGTATGCAGTCATATAAACCACCTATACACATTTTTATTCTAGAATCATTAGCACAAGTTACAACATGTACGAATCTGACTGAACTTTGGTTTGTGTCACTCTTTGGTGTAGAACAGGAAAGAGCCACAAATACAGTATGTCTTGTACTCTTTAATTGTATCAGATATAAACTGAGCTGATTAACCCCTAAATCACATGTCACAGCGGCTCCCATGAGGGATTTTGTCAACCCTAGTCCTGAATAAAAAAAAGCAGCATCTCGTGATAAATGTACAAGTGTGCAAGAAGTGTACTGTGGGTTACAACACATATGTTGTAACCCTGTAAAATGCAGAAAAAGGTCATTGGTAAACAGATGCACACATGTGATAGGACAAAATGAGTAGATGTAAACAATACCACTAAAAGAGGCAAGGCATCCAGAAACCGAACACTTCTTCCCCACGAAAAGGGAGCATAGTGTACTGTACATCACAACTAGTGTATCGAAGGAACAAGTTGTAGGTACTTTAGAATATTATAACTGGCAGTGCTCTAATTTCTCAGGTGGTTATTTGTAATATTTTCACATAACTAATATGTATACATTTATAGTTATTTAATAATTAGGTGTACACCTCACAGCATAGAGGAAAAAAAAAAAAAAACCTTCAATTTCACAAGATTGTTTTTTTTTTTTAGAAAGTAATGTGTATTACATGTCCATGCAAGGTTATTAACTAAAAATAAACTGCTCATTTTAGACCAAAATTGAATTAGAAATAGTCCAACTTGTGATCTGTAAAAAGTAGCTTAAAAATGGACACACCAATACAAGAGTTCATTCACTAAATAGTGACCGGCTTATTTACTGGAGTTTCAGTTGCTGAGATTTCAAAGCAAGTTTTAGACTAAAATTCCCATACAGGAGAAAAATACAGATTGAGTTTAAAATCATACTTGTAAACAGCCAAGATACTTTGTTTTAGTACCCCTGCCCCTGGTGTGTATGTACATTTAGATTTCATGAAAGATGTCATGAAGGAGATATTGCCTCTTTCATAATGGTCCCATGACTCCCATCCTCCTCAGCAGCATTGGGGACATGATGTGCAAGAGTCCATCCCAGCTTCTCTATAGGAAGATCAGTGCAACCGCCACTGGAGAGGTGTTTAACCCTTTAATGTAAACATTACTGTTTCAGCAGAAAAGCAATGTCTTACCTTGAATGGACCAACTTCCAGAACCTCTGCACCTGGACCGCTTCATCTCATTGAAGTGGCCTGGGTGACTTTATTGGTCCTTCAAAAACCAAAGTTGTAAGAACATCAAGCCAAAATAGTTTGCAAAATACAGGCTGAAACAGCCAAATGGTAATCATGGCTTGACAGTTTTTAATTAACTGAAGTTAACTGCTTTATGTGCAAAAAGGAGAATGATTGTTAATGGTTTGGTTTTTCCATTCATCATAGATATTACAAGCACTGCTTTTAAAAAAAAAAAAAAAAAAAAAAAAGTGTAAGGTTTCTTTTAACTAGCTTACACGCACTTCATCATCTCAAGGGAGACAATCCAATCAAGAAATTACAGCATAATATACGTACATTGGTTGTAAACAGACCTTATGTGAACCTTTGGGCTTTCCTTGTACGCATTACAACAGATTCTGACGTCTGACTTCAGAAATTAATTCCATTTAGATTAGAAATGGAGAACTGAGCGCATATAAAGGAGGAAAATGTTTGGTTTTTTTTTCCCCACAAATCCAAGCCATTTCACATAATACAGGTTTTAAAGTAAGAGGGGTGCTTTTCATTCTGTAATGTCATGAAAAGAGCCTAACAGATACGTTCTGCACATCCTGAGTGGGTGATTAAGTGGGTTTTATGTATTAAAACCCAGAGGGAGGCCAGCAAGGAAGACTTGCAGTCAGAAGGCATGCACTTTTTCCAGGAGGGTAGCATCCGTTACCAGCTCACCCTCTTTACATACCTCCCTGTACTGGGAAGCATGATATTTTTATTTATTCACAGAAAATAAAATGGACCACTAATGTCACCCAGACCACTTCATCTCAAAGTGGTCTGAGTGCAGTGGCTCTGTAGCTTCAACCCTTCAATATAGAAACTGCACTGTTTTCAAATTGAAGGGTTAGACTTTGACAGTCACTAGAGGTACTACTGCTTCAACAACCACCGAGTAAAACGGTCATGTGATGTCAAAACAACAAATGAAGCCTATAGGAAGTCACTGTATTCAATGCTTTCATTTCAGAAGGAAATTGATTGGATGTGTGCACATCATTTTTATTACACAAGGGGGACCTAATCTAAACAATGTCACTAGTGCAGGGCTCGACAAATTGGCTTGGAATTTATAAACCACAATAAAGTTAGGAGCCAGGTTTTGTTTTCTGTTTAAAAAAAAAAAAAGTTTTAAAAGGGACACTATATAATTATCAGCTTAATGTAGTGGCTCTGGTGTCTATATCCTGTCCCAGTAAGATTTTCAATGTAAACATGTCACTGATGGTGATTTATAGGGAAAGGATCCACTCCAGATCTCCAAAAGGTAGGGAGGCTGGGCGGACTTAAATTAGAAAAAAAAACACAAACAAAAAAAAACAAAAAAAAACACACACAAATAATTTGAGTGTGTGTTTTCACTCCATAGAGTGCTGTTTAGTGATGCCAGGGCTTTAGAGATGCCATATTTCAGCTTCCCCATCACTGCAGGGCGAGCGGGGGAGCATAACAATTAGAATAGAAGACAACTCCCACCCTAGCCGCCTGCATTCACCCTCGCCAGGCCGCCCCTGCTCAACGGACTGACAAATCCCAGGTGCCAGGACAAAATTCCTAGTAGCCATGGCAACCTGGCGTATGTCGAGCCGTGCAATATCATTAGGAATACGGATGTGTATTACAAACACTATAGTGTTTCTTTAAATGGTACAGATCTAATCTTTAGAACTTGTGCCATCAAAACAACAGAGTCCTTTCAGTACATGCAAGAGGGTGGTGGTGGGGGAATACTGCTTGGAATTTACAGTATTCCATCCCTCATCCAAACCAAACAGGCTGTTCAGAAGAATCACTGGGAAACAAAAGACCTTAAACTTCCTTTTATGCACAAGTCTTTATATATCCTAGATACAGTTACTATTTTACTTTAGTCAATAAGCAGTCTCCCCCACCCCCCATTTCTCTCATGTAAGAACTTTAAAAAGATAAGTCATCGGCATGATTGCTCTCATCTCTTGAAATCTGCAATAATAAATGATTAAACTTCTTATTACAGGACTAGAGTTGATCGCAGGAACTCAGGAATGTTATCTTTTACCACCCTCAGTAAACAGATCGAAGAAAATGGGCCTACTGCTAGCTGTGCAAAAAAAAAAAAAAAACATGTTGGAGCTGGATAGGTCAAGTGTGACAATACCATTGAAATATGTGACACATGACTGGAAGGTTTCACAGCACCTTCCCATTGTTCCGTCATCCAAATGTAATCCGTGCAAACATTTAAAAAAACCAAAACAAAAAAACCCCCCCCAAAATAAAAATAAACCCCCACACACACACCACACATTCCACAAACAACTTTTGTTAACTTTGACAACTCTCCTCAGGTTTATTCAGTTTCCATTGTTTTTACTGGGCAATATACATGCAAATAATCAAAGAAAATATAGCTTCTGATATGAAAACTGGTAACCAATATTGGACGATTTTTTTTTATTTCCGATACAAAAAACAAAACAAAAAACAGACTAGTTTGGGCACCATAATTACTATAGCGCAATGAAGTCTTTATGCTCTGGGGGTCCTGCGCAACATTTTACATTATGGGTTAAAATACCACTAAAGTTACCCATCTCATCTCAATGATGTGGACTGAGTGCAGTGGCCTTGTTTAAACACTGCAAAAAAATATAAAAAAAAAAATACCCACCACTGTGTTTTGTAGAAACCATAATTACGTTCCAGGGCAATATACATCTTTCGTGTGTCTTCCAGTAGCCACGAGAGACGCTTTCTCTACAACAACACAGTAAGACTTGTTCACATGAGGTTGCAGCTCATAGGAAAGCATTGAACTCTATGGTTTCCTATGAGAATTTCGATGCATGCCGCACGTTTGAGTTTTGCTAGGACAAAGATGTTCTAAGGTCACCAAGTGTAAATAAAGAAATCCTTCCATAGGGAACCATTACTTCACTAGCAGTTTAGCCTAAGACTGAAGTCAACCTTCAAATCTGCTTATTAAAAGATTTTGTAGCTTTTGTGATCCCTGCTCGGAACACTAGAGTGATGCTGAGCTCAAAGTAAAAAGCATTTAAGGTAAACTATAGTGCAAGGAAAACAGTTGTGTTCTTGGCACTATAGCTCCCTTTAATGCCCCCATGGTACAGAAGGTGTTAAAAAAACAAACAAAAAAAAACACTGTAATTTACCGGAGTCCAGCACTGATGTCCTTTGGCACTAGCTCCTCCGCAATGGCCGCACTCGCACTAGTATTTCCCTATACGAAAGCATTGTATAATGCTTTTCTTTGGGGTTTTACAAGACACTGGATTTCCCCATGCATAGCGTGAGGATGTCCAGTGTCAGGTGACCAAAAGTCACCTAAAGGTCCAGAAGTCATTCTAGTGGCTGTTTAGTAGACAACCACTAGAGGTGGAGTTAACCCTCAAAAAGGTAATTCTGCAATAATTACCTTTGCTGGGTTAAGGGACCTGAGACTAAGCACCCAGACCACTTCAATTATCTGAAGTGGTCTGGGTGCATAGTCCTAGGTCCCTTAACCCACATTCTTAAAATATACACCATATGAACACTTACAAAATGGACGGTTTTTGTAGCTAGACTCGGCACCCATAAGACAGGTCTACAGCAAGTTCACCTTCAGTAATCAAGACTATATATATATATATATATATATATATATATATATATATATATATATATATATATATATATATATATATATATATATATATATATATATATATACACATATATACATATATATACACACACACACACACACACACACACACACACACATATACATACACACACACACACACACACACACACACACACACACAGAGAGAGAATTTTCTTCAAAGTCAAGAGGAAACATGCCTTGTATACAGTAGCTAAACCTACATGATGCCCAACACATTCCAAGCTTCTGAGACTGATGATTAAATTAGTTTCAAACAAAGTGACACAAGGTCACTTTCTCTCATGGCATGAGTACTTTAAACACTTAGCCAAATTAAACGTATTGCCATAGAAATGAAAAACAAAAAAGTACAAGACTTAAAAAGGTGCCTGCAATAATGTTTTGGCAGCATTTGCTATAATATTTTAGGAATACATTAAAAATAAAAAAATAAAAAAAATAAACAAGTTACAAAGAGCAAAAGATGCATTAACACCATCTGAAGAGTGATTGCTATCCTAGAATAGAATTCTGACACTTATCTGTACCAGATGGGTATACATTAAAGGGGAGGCATACTAAATAGTGTATACATTTAAGGAAAAAAGGCATGTGTGTTTTTTGGGGCATTTTTCTACATGAAATTAATTTTGAATTCAGTCTGGTATTTTCCATTTACCCAAGCCAGCATTAAATGAACCCAAAGCTGTAACTAGACAACCCCTGTACCACCAAGTCCAGCTACTGTTTCAGCATGCTACACAACTAACAAAAAGGAGATATTCAGGACAACTGAGACATGAACTGCATTTAGCACCAAGGAAACCATTTAAAACCAAGCAAAAAATAAATGGATATATCCAAGATACTAGTGAAGCTGACTCTGCTTAACCTCTCCTGACTCAATGGCGTGCAGAACAGACAAGTCATTGTTGTGTGCAGTGTATGGACAGGTCTGCAAAGCTAATCTGACCACAAGAGATTAATGGCTTTGGCTAAAGAAAGTAGTTGCCATGCAAATCGTGTGCAGCTCCAAGAAAGCATCAGCATTCTGTTATCCATGCCTTGTTGCCTGGAGACATAACAGTGCTTTGAAACACAGGTTGCAGTGACCATGAAGAAAAGTTTATCACTAACCTCTGGTTTACAACAGTGTCCACAGTTAAGTGTTATTCAATGGTGCAACTCAGCAGTTCGTTAGTTCTGTGACAACAACCAACAAGTTTGGGGCCCCAAGGCTGCATGGCTCATAACACCCACCCGTGATGTAAATGGAACGTATGAGGAAATGCAAGCAAGTTTATGCTTGGCGTCTGACTAGATACTAAACCAATCAAGACGAAACGCTTCCTAGTTAGCCAACATTGTGCTAATAATGACAAAAAATGCAGAAGAAAATAGATATTTTTTTTTTGTTTGGTAAAATTATAACTATAGCAGTGAACAGAGCCATTAAAATATACAAGTGCCCCCCTCCCCCCCACCAAAACAATCCAAAGGGCCTTCTTTTAAGATGTACAATAAAAGGATGGTAGAAAATCCAATTACAAGCTTGTTATTCTAGGGAAATGAGGCTGAAATAACAGACAGTTTTAGAAATTCCCAAAGGGGCAATAACTTCCAGAACTTGATCCTCCTTGCAAAAAGCCACACTGCGGCCAATTTTATCAAGTGTTCTCTGAGAGATCAGCTTTAAACATCAGGGAGAATTAAAACGGGGTAAATTTCTATTAAACTAGGATTAGTGGTCAATTTACTGGGAACGTGCACATTTCAGCTAAGGGCAGCCAAACTGAAAAATTCATGTTTCTGTTATTTTGGCCTGAAATGTGTCTTGTCTATTCTCCACAAATAAGCGATCCTATGAAATGCTCCTAGTTTGTTGTATTTTTTTTTACACAACTTAACACGGAGTAGCTAATTGGGTGCATTGATACTTAGTGCTGATCTATGGAAAGGGCACTATGCAAGGAGACTATAGAAAGGTTAATCAAGGAAATACTATAGAACAGTTCATAATAAAGGTTATCAGAGAAATCAAAGCACACATTCTCTTCCTTTCTCTCAGAACTACCCCTAGCCTAACCCTGAGAAATGATGGCAATAAGCCATTAAAAAGTAGTGCAAATTATTCTTGAACAAATATCTTAGATATGCAGAAAATTGAGCAACAACTATATCTACATCAAACACTTCAGATACTTACTGATATCTCATTTTAATTCGGTCACTGTCAGGACTGCAGTATAGCCTTTCTACATGTTCTTGTGAATCATCGTTCAAACTCTGCCAGATGCCGGTATCGCTCTTCCGAACCTGCCAGTGATACGGTAATACTGTGTGATGATTTGGACAATCTTTACCATAAAAACATAATCCCTGTAAGAAATCCACACAAATTTCTATCCCATCTTTCAGATGGACATGGTACTGGAGTTGGTTTAAAAGCTCAAATACTAAAAGAAGAGAAGCCTCGTCCGTTTTGTCCTGAAATATTCCAGTGTTTGAATTAGCTTGGTTCAAGTTGTATTGGTCCAGACAGGCGATATTCTGAAATAACCCTTCGGAGCAGGTTCCAGCGGTCTTATCCAAGCAGTCAGGCCTGGCAGAATCACTTGGGTTTGCCTGCAAGAGAGAATCTTCGAAAGCCTCGTTGGCAGTGTTAGCAGCAATTACACTAGAGCTTTCAGTGGGGAAGGTTGGTTCAGTTTCAATTACGCTTGGAGGTTCTTCTGTAATGTCTTTCTGTGTAGAAGAAACAGAGGGTGTATGATCCATTCCTGGATCAAGACTCGGATTTGCAGAAATTAGCGAGTCATCCTGAGGATCTTGTTGTTCAACCTCCAATGCCTTCTTCACATGAGGGTCACATAAATTATTAGCATTCCCAGGCACAAATATTTCATTAAGAGTCCCTGATCCTAAAAAGCTACTAAATATTGGCCGCAATGCACGAAGCGTGTCTGCGTCTAGTAGTTTAGAAGTCTGCTTTTTTTTGAAACATGGCTTTACTGGCGGAATTTTGTCGGGGTGTCGCAAAAAGTGCCGGTCCGAAATGGTTGTTGCATGCGTCGCATTGGAACTTGGGTCTTCAGATTCTGTATCCATAGCCATCTCTGAAGACTCTTCCACCATGTCAGAGACCATAAAAATAGCCAATCAAACCTGGGAAGATGAATACAAGAAAACAGACAAGTCTCAATGAAAAGATTTAACTGAGCAAAGTCATTGTTCATGTAAGCACAACAGTTGAATCTATTAACTCGCAGTCCTTGGCAGCCCCAGGCATGAAAATGAGAAAATTCTTTTTTTAAAAAGGAGCACACATACATATACATTTTATAGGATTGTGTAGTTTCACCACATAGTGCTTTGCAACATGGTTTATGCCACAAGCACATTTTCAATCTCATAGCTAGATTAGTTTGTGTAGGGGCATCTTACAGTGGACAACTTAGAAGGCTGTGTATTATACACAAACAGGCCTGATAAACTACACAGGCTTAAACAGATTTACAGACAGTCTTAAGGTCACATGGGTACACACCCTGTCTCACTCATTATCTTGTGCTCTGACACACACCCAGTCTGACATTCACATGGCCATTTTGCTTTTCCATCCAGCCCTAAGGTGACTTGTGCGCACACGCCCACCCTGCACCACATATCACCTCACAACAAAACACTCGCTAGTTCCAAAGTTCTGAGCGAAGAACTGAATTACTCAGGGGACCCCCCCGTAAAAATTGTTTGTAACAAATCACAAGGTCTAAAACCAAAAACACCACAACTAACTAAAACAAAAAACATCTTAAGTCACTATAGGCTTGTATCAAGAATAACAAAATGAGGGGAATGCGAAAGGAAGTGGTCATATTTTACAATGCTAAATAATATTTATACTGTTCCCAAGCCAACACTTTCCTCCAAGCTATTTAAAATGTCCTTGCTAGGTATATAAAACTAGAAGGATTTGGTATGAATTGAAAAAACATTGAGATGTGCACACATGTTAACAGAATGTACATAACTCCTCCATAACAGCAGTTAACACATTCCTCACTGGCAACCAAAAAAGACTTAAAAGACTTAAAATACATTCCAGGGTTATCTCTACATAGCAAGGACAAAGCAATGTCTTTGTTACAGAATTGAAAAATAAAATATATATTCTGTGGTTAGTGATCTTGTTTTATCAGCTGCTCGCCCGCATTCCCTATATTTCACCTAAAATAAATTAGGTGTTCGGTGAATATTGCCAATATAATTAAATTAAATTAATGTATCCCATTATATCCTAGTGTGACCAACTGCTATATTGTCTACCTTTTGTCTCCTAGATCTGCACACAAGCACTGCAAACAGGATTTACAAGGAAGGGAATATAATATAGAAAAAACACTAATTAGGCAAACAGTGACATTTTTTCCATAAATATGCAAGTCCCATGAACAACCTTTCAAGGAGACCCTTTTATTCAACTGATCTGAGCTGTTAATTCCATTACACGCCATGGTGTAAATGTAAAGCAAGCACAAGGGACAATATCACACAGGATCTCCAAGACATTCAATCTCACAATGCAGATTTTATAGTTTCATCTACCCCATTGTCGCTGTGCAGAGGGAGAAGGGGGTCTTCAAAACTGATGAAATTGTAAATATGCTAATGACACATGATTACAATAAAACCATATGGAATGAAGCTCTGCCGGTGTGAATTAGATGAGTTCACAGCAGGGCTATCGGACAATAAAATGCTAAATCTCTACTTATCAGATCCAAACACACTGTGATTAGCACACAAAGAAGAAAAGCGAAAAAAAAAAAAAAAAAAATCTAACGCAAACTTCCCAGTACCCAAGGGAACCAGGAGTGGGGGATACATTGTATCCCTGCACTACATACTCTCCTGACAAGAAGAGTCACAGTCATTGTAAGAAATGTAAATCACGGATAGAAAATAGTGTTTCTAGAAATCATTTCAATGCCAGTACAGCTGATCAATAAAATGCTTCATTCGCACAAAATCCTGGGCACCCAGAAGGGTTAAGATCAGGGAGCCCCCACAGCATCAGAGAGCTGCACAGCACTGCAGAACACTAAGAAACAAAGGAAACATATATACAATGAGCACAAAAAAAGTTAAAAATAAATAAAAAGTTTTTTTTATTTTTTATATTTAGATATTCAAAATAAATGATTGTCCATTAGAAATGCTGGCGATGTGTTAGGATCCCCCTTTTCTTCCAGTAATACCCAGACAGGCTGTAAATAATCCCAAATCCAGAGTGAAGACAAAAAGTTCCCCATCCAGCACTTTATGTATAAAGCAAGGAGCAGTGGAGTAAGATTCCTGGGGCAGGAGCACTTACCTGCCTGGCAGACAGAGTGGAGCTGGGTGCAGGTCCTGGACTAGGAAGAGCCTCCAGTAATGAGAGGTGGATGAGCTTCTGGGAAGGTGGGGGTGCAGGACTTCCTAGCCTGCTCTCGCCTGCTGCTCTGTACGTGACAAGCGACCCATTCCTGCTTTCAGCAGCTCCAGCACTGAGCTCTGCCTGCCCCTCACGTGTTACATTAGCTTGTTTTAAATATCGCTTCCTGGAGCCACTCCCAGAGGAGCCTGCACGACTCAGGGTGGAGAGTGGGACTCACGGCAAGCAGAGGGTGCACTGCCACCTAGTGGAAACACTGCGTTATAGGTGGGAAGCAGCAGGTGAGCAGAATGGCATTATTATTAAATAGAACACTCACAGTATTCACTAAAAATGGTTAACTAGGGGAGGACAATGGACTGGCAACGGTTAACCTTAGACAAGTACAAATAAATTGCCTTGGGACTCATGTCCTAGTCGTGTATATCAGTTACTATATGACAAAGGGAGGCTTATGGAATTGCAAGGTGTGACATCATATATCCCTGTAACCCTCATGACCTGAGCAGGATTGATCATTCACAAATAGTGCTGAATGCCTAAGCGACAAATCCTTTGCTTCCTGTGACTCCATTGTCACCAGCAGTGGCAATTGTTTAATGCAGACAAGGCTGTAAATGCTAGATCTAAGCTCAGGATCCGCTGTTCTTTCTATATTTGTCTATATTGTACACTGTACCCCCAATCTGTCCTCACCCCCATACTGCAGTGTATGTTGGTGTTTTATATACAAATATATATAAACTTAGAAAGACAATGTCTAGCAGTCTGGCACATTTCAGACACTGCTGTACCCTGGGAAATATTCTGGAGCACCAGTCCAAACCAGATTAAGATTGTGATTGCACCAGCCCGTATACAAACCCACACAGCGCCAGGTTAGCAAAAGCCCTGCACAAACCCGCACAGTCCCAGGTTAGTAAAAGCCCTGCACAAGCCCGCACAGTCCCAGGTTAGTAAAAGCCCTGCACAAGCCCGCACAGTCCCAGGTTAGTAAAAGCCTTACACAAACCCGCACAGTGCCAGGTTAGTAAAAGCCCATACACAAACCCGCACAGTGCCAGGTTAGTAAAAGCCCGTACACAAACCTGCACAGTGCCAGGTTAGTAAAAGCCCGTACACAAACCCGCACAGTGCCAGGTTAGTAAAAGCCCTGCACAATTCTTGCTGGCCGGCGCTGACTCCTGCATTGCTCTGCTGATAGATAGCCCAATGAACCTATTTTTTATCAACAAAACAACAGTGTGCGGTACACATCGCCCTTGCCACATCTCCCATACTGAATTTCCATGGGGCTTAATTGTCCTTAATCCCTCTTGCCAGCACTCTGAACTGAAAATATACCCGAAAGGCCATTATTTTCTCTGGTTTATCAGATTCCCAATTTAAAATATATGACAATTGTCATTTTTAGTTAATAATCCTGTGAGACAAAACCTTTGTCGAAGCAGACCAGCTGGTATGGCCAATGTTTCCCTCAAGGATTAGCCATACTATGAGTCTGAGCTTTAAGGCACAACAGTTGGCGTACCAGATGCCAATTCTCACTGCCACTGCCTTTGTTACGGACTAAGCGGGAGACCAATAATTATACAATTCTGCTTTAACAACACTCTCTTGGTTATTTACCAAAATAAGAATCCCAAGTGAATATCACATTTAAGGTCAAAATATCTAAGAGAAAAAAAAAAAAAAAAAAAAAACTATGCCAACTATGCTTTGTTTGGTTACTGTGGCCTTAAATATGAAATTCACATGGAATTCTCATTTTAGTAAATAACTCCTTGTGTGCATGGTCACTACAACACCACGTTATTATGGTCTTCGGGAGGATGAGAGCTGTAGCGCAGAAACAGGTTTATACCAGCTTAAGTCAACTGCTCACTATAACTTGGCTTAAAGGCCGGATTAAGAGCCCATTGGGCCTGGTTCTGACAATTATGATGGGCCTAATTACAGACAGAAAACACTAAACGTTATACCTCCCAAGCATCATGTATCTGGTGCTGGAGGGAAACTCACAGGATATAGCTATAAGAAAACACATACCCTATGCTAATCTCTCACTTTCATCTTTCAAGTAAATCCATACCCCCTAACAGCAGTGTCCAGTGAAGAAGGATGTCAGTGGACAGAGTAAAAAGGGGGGGCCACTGACGCAAATCATGTAACCAGAACCTCCCAAAGGGGCGAATATGCCCATAAGGTGGTTGTGTATGCCCGAAGAATTGGAAGACCAGCCTTGAATGCATGCATGTCAGGCTCCCTGCCATAGGCGTGCCTGGGCACACCCTAATCCCCGCGCACGCCTATGTATATTGAGACTGGCAGGGGAGATCTCAGGATCTCCCCTGTCAGCTCATGCAGAGCCGGCGCTATCCGAGCGCCGGCTCTGCTCTCAGCCTCCCTCCCCACTGACCCACATGCAGTGAGGGAGGCAGGAGAGGACCCGGCGGAGCTAATGCCGGCAGCTCCGCCGGGTTCCTCTCGCGAGATATGAGCGTTGCCACAGGGGGCTAGAGTTCACTCTACACTGGACCACCAGGGATGTAATCAGCAGCACGATCCCCCCTCCCTACAAAAGGTAAGAAGGGAGGGGGGATAGCAATTAATGTACCCCCACAATCACCCACCCACATACAGCACACACACAGCACCCACCCACACACACACACACCACCCACCCACAGACATACAGCACCCACACACATACAGCACCCTAACAGCACCCTCACACACACACACACAGCACACTAACAGTACCCTCACAAACAGGACCCTAACACACACACAGCACACTACCAGTACCCTCACACACAAACAGCACCCTCACACACAGTTCATTAACAGCACCCTCACAAGCGCACACACACACAAACAGCACCCTCACACACAGTACATTAAAGGCATCCTCACAAGCACACACACACAAACACCCTCACCCACATAACACACTACCACACTACCAGCACCGTCACACACATCACACTAACAGCACACACACACACACACAGCAGTGTGTATGTGTGTATGTATATATATACACACACACACACATATATATATTATATATATATATATATACACACATATACATATATATATATATACATACATACACAGGGAGTGCAGAATTATTAGGCAAATGAGTATTTTGACCACATCATCCTCTTTATGCATGTTGTCTTACTCCAAGCTGTATAGGCTCGAAAGCCTACTACCAATTAAGCATATTAGGTGATGTGCATCTCTGTAATGAGAAGGGGTGTGGTCTAATGATATCAACACCCTATATCAGGTGTGCATAATTATTAGGCAACTTCCTTTCCTTTGGCAAAATGGGTCAAAAGAAGGACTTGACAGGCTCAGAAAAGTCAAAAATAGTGAGATATCTTGCAGAGGGATGCAGCACTCTTAAAATTGCAAAGCTTCTGAAGCGTGATCATCGAACAATCAAGCGTTTCATTCAAAATAGTCAACAGGGTCGCAAGAAGCGTGTGGAAAAACCAAGGTGCAAAATAACTGCCCATGAACTGAGAAAAGTCAAGCGTGCAGCTGCCACTTTGCCACCAGTTTGGCCAAATTTCAGAGCTGCAACATCACTGGAGTGCCCAAAAGCACAAGGTGTGCAATACTCAGAGACATGGCCAAGGTAAGAAAGGCTGAAAGACGACCACCACTGAACAAGACACACAAGCTGAAACGTCAAGACTGGGCCAAGAAATATCTCAAGACTGATTTTTCTAAGGTTTTATGGACTGATGAAATGAGAGTGAGTCTTGATGGGCCAGATGGATGGGCCCGTGGCTGGATTGGTAAAGGGCAGAGAGCTCCAGTCCGACTCAGACGCCAGCAAGGTGGAGGTGGAGTACTGGTTTGGGCTGGTATCATCAAAGATGAGCTTGTGGGGCCTTTTCGGGTTGAGGATGGAGTCAAGCTCAACTCCCAGTCCTACTGCCAGTTCCTGGAAGACACCTTCTTCAAGCAGTGGTACAGGAAGAAGTCTGCATCCTTCAAGAAAAACATGATTTTCATGCAGGACAATGCTCCATCACACGCGTCCAAGTACTCCACAGCGTGGCTGGCAAGAAAGGGTATAAAAGAAGAAAATCTAATGACATGGCCTCCTTGTTCACCTGATCTGAACCCCATTGAGAACCTGTGGTCCATCAAATGTGAGATTTACAAGGAGGGAAAACAGTACACCTCTCTGAACAGTGTCTGGGAGGCTGTGGTTGCTGCTGCACGCAATGTTGATGGTGAACAGATCAAAACACTGACAGAATCCATGGATGGCAGGCTTTTGAGTGTCCTTGCAAAGAAAGGTGGCTATATTGGTCACTGATTTGTTTTTGTTTTGTTTTTGAATGTCAGAAATGTATATTTGTGAATGTTGAGATGTTATATTGGTTTCACTGGTAATAATAAATAATTGAAATGGGTATATATTTGTTTTTTGTTAAGTTGCCTAATAATTATGCACAGTAATAGTCACCTGCACACACAGATATCCCCCTAACATAGCTATAACTAAAAACAAACTAAAAACTACTTCCAAAAATATTCAGTTTTGATATTAATGAGTTTTTTTGGGTTCATTGAGAACATGGTTGTTGTTCAATAATAAAATTAATCCTCAAAAATACAACTTGCCTAATAATTCTGCACTCCCTGTGTGTGTGTGTATATATATATATATACATACACACACACACGTGGTTTGTGCTTTAGGGTGCACACCCTAATGCAATAGGCTGCGCACGCCTATGCTCCCTGCCAATCATGCAAACTGGCCAACTAAGGACATACTATGCCGACAGCACCCTGAGCCTAGCATAAATGCATCTAATTATGCGCTAGCGCTATGTTTTTGGAGGACGATCTCCTAGCATTCACTGGTCCAATCCTCTCCTAACATTCTTACTAGTAGGCAGAAGCTCCTGTTATACAGTCTGGGACAGAGGAAAGGTGTATGTAATGAGTGTAGAACAGTGGTGTACACACAAACCATGGGGCCCCGGTGCAAAAATGATCTGTGGGCCCCCCCTATTCCCGCCAGACAGACAGACACACATATATACATACAGACACATACATACAAACCGACACACACACAGACACACACACACAGA